CTCCCAGAATTCCTCAGCTAGCCATGCTGGCTGGGGAATTCTGGGAGTTGAAGTCCACACATCTTCAAGGTGCTGAGGTTGAGAAAAATTGCTTTAGATGATAAGATCAAGAGGTGTCCCTATTACAGTAATAGGAAGGTCCAGCAAGTTCTGATTGAAGATCAACATTTCAGGGTGGGAGGGGTGAGCAAGGCCTTTCGGCAGAAGCTGTAAGTCTACACTGCAAGGGCTTGTCCAGTGCCCAAAAGCACATTTTCCAGGAACCCAACAACTGAGATAGCTCCATCACTTCACCATAGCATGCAGAAGAGGAAGAATGGAATTTGGCAAGCACCAAGGGAGGTGTCTCATGCATGTGGGCCTCGCATTGCCCAGTCTTGGACTAAGAGGTGACCAGTTTGACCAGCATACAGATATGCTCTACCTATTGAAATCAGATTTTGGCTTGTGTAACATGAGGGCAGCTCTGCTTCTTTTCTCACTCACCAACCTCAAAAGACTGGGATAAAAGGAAAAGTTGATAGGCCCCGCTAGGGAAAGGAAGGGTGTTCAATTCAGGCCTTTCAATGGGAAAAGAACATCAGAAAGCTTGTGCAGACAGTGGCTATATTCAAATGTGTTCCATATGGTCATGGTTAACTTAAATTACAGTTCATGGAATAACTGATCCATATACTAACCCCCTGCGTGCGGTTCATATGACGCCCTTTGCTAAAATGTGATTGGTTAGTTTATGGTTGAGTGTGCTATGCAAACACATACGTTGGGTTTACCCAAGAGGCTTTGGGGTGACTGAATTAACCCATGTTTCCAGATTCACACAATGCTCTGAGCTAGCACCTAGGTTTCCGCACCATTCTAGAAGAAAGTAAGTTTGAAAAAAAACAGTAATGAAGTGAGTAGTAAGTTCAGGGGAAAAAAAAAGAGTTTTTAATGAAGTGACAGTAAGTTTTGGGGGAAAAAAAGCAGTATTTAATGAACTGAGTTTGGCACGTTGCATCAGTGCAGCTGCTGGATTTGTAACGGGGTGTAAACCGGGCGGAGAGGGCCAGGCCACGCAACCCCGCGGCTGCCGGCGGGGCAATGTCTTCCCAAGTACTGTAGCCCCCACCGACTCCAGAGGGGCCTGTTCTTGCCAGCCGGCCCGTCTAAAAGGCTGAGCTGCGATCTCCTCCGCTGAGGTGGAGGCATCAGACGCTCGGCCGGCGAGAGAGAAAGCCCGGGGGACAGCAGTGCGCTGTAACAGGAGAAAAGAGCCTGTGACTGCGGAGCAAGCGGCGGGGCGGGCGCAGCCCAGGAGCGATTTGGCCGGAGTAATAGCAAAAGCGAAACTAGCTGGGCTGCTTAGGGGAGCGACGGCAGCCG